CTGCGTAATATAGTCCATTATGTCCTGGGCAGTCTTTCCTCTGAGCTCTGTTTCCCATGCTACATCTGTTAGAAATTTTCTTATTTCCTTATTGTTTCCCTTCCGGAATGCCGGCCTTTTGTTTTCTGGGCCTTTCCTTGAGTACTTAAATCCTACTTCTTCTAGGTACTCAACCATCAGTACACTGTGATCACTCATTCCCATTGGGGCTTCGAAACCGATTTCCCTTATGTCGGAGTCGTTCAGAGTAAATACTAGGTCGAGTCTTGCTGGTTCATTGTTGTTCTCATTCTTATGGCATTCCGAACATGCTGACTTAAAAAGTTTCTTGTCGTCACTTGTAATAGTTTAGTTCCCCATGTTTCCTCACCTCCACGCGCTTCCTCGTTTTCCCAGTCTATCCTTCCAGGATTGAACTCCCCCATGATGAGCAGATGGGATCGATTTCTACAGGTGGCTGTGGCTGCTCTCTCAGTTATAGTGTTAACTTCCTTGTTGTTCCTGTTATACTCTTGCATGGGTCTTCTGGCATTTGGTGGTGGGTTATATATCACTGCTACTACTACTCTTAGTCTTCCCATCATCTTGGTGCCTGTTATGAAGTCTTAGAACCCCTCGCTGCTCGAAATAGTTATTTCCTCGAAACTCCATTCCTTTCTCATCAGTAGGGCCACTGCACCTCCTCCTCCTCCCCTTCCTTCTTTCTCTCTCCTTATTTCAGTGTAGTCCTGGGGAAACACCGCTTTTGTTATTATTCCTGAGAGTTTTGTTTCTGTGAGTCCAATTACATCCGGGTTCACTTCTTGTGCTCTTTCCCTAAGTTCACTTGCCTTGCTTGTGATCCCATTTAAGTTCGAGAACATTACCTTAAAGCTGACTCTCTTCTGTCCATCCTCAGTTTCTGTTGATACCCAGGGGTTGGGGGACAATGAGTGTCTACAGGGTGAGGGCCTAAGAAGGAGAACCTGGGGCACTTGGGGTGTGAGTGAGGGGGGGGGGGATTTGGAGGCTCTGATACGTGGGGGCTGGGATGGTCTGGGGTGGTGTGGCTGAGAGGGTCTTGTGTTGGGGGTCACGTAGGGCATGAGATGAAGAAGCAGGGGGGACAAGTGGTGGAGGGGGAGGGAGGACATAGGTTGGGGAATGCAGGGGAGTCTGGGGTGGGATGGCAGGAAGATCAGTGGTTGGGAAGGGAGCTTGTTAGATGGTTAACAGGGTATTATTGGATGCTGGGGCAAGGGGTGGGGGTCAATGAAGGGAAAGACAGGGAAGGTATGGGGCGAGGTGGGGGACAGGGAGGGTATGGGTGGTAGAAGAGGGGGACCAAGGAGGGTATGGGGTGAGGGGAGAGGGGGGGAACAGGAGGGTATGGGGTGACAGGGAGGAGGGAATGGGGTGAGATGGGAAAGAGGACAGGGAGGGTAAAGGGTGATGGGGGGAAGGGGGAAAAGGGAAGGTATGGGGTGAGGTGGGGAGGGTATGGGGTGAGGTGGGGGAGGGTTGACTGAGCCTTTGAATGAGGGCAGGGAGGGTTCAGTGTAAAGGGGAATTTCTATGGGGAGGAAGATGGGGGTGTTGTCCTCTCCTCTGGGGGGTGCTGGTGGGGAGTTCCACACTTCCCTTTGGAGCTGTTGAGTTGGGTCTGGGGTTCCCTGGTTCTCTCCTCTCCCCCTGTGTTTCCTCCTCACTTCTGCTGCCTTTACTCTCACTTCCCTCTCACGTCCCTCTGGAGGAATACTTTCCTGTAACCTCCCACATGGTACAGAAGGCTCTTCCTTGCTAGAATTATTTTCTATGCGTGCTCGTTTATAAACACTATCTTTATCAGACGATTTCTGTCCTTGTTGTACCAGCCTAGCCAAGAATACCTTCTCCGTGCTTGGTCCAGCTGTGTGCACAGTCCAGCTCTATGCATGGTCCAGCATGTGCATGTATGTGTGTGTAAATATTTGGTGTGTATGTTAAAGTACAATAGGTAAGCACTACCACCAGAATAGGTGTATGGAAGTATTCCTGGGGCCTGTAGTGTTATACGACATTGTCTGTGTAAATAACCCTTGGGCTGGCCTGGCTATAGGCCCACCACATGCAGTATCTCTCCAGCTGGGGGTCGCCCAGGATGCCAAGCGGCTCCAGTCTCCTACCCTCCCCTTCACCCTTTTTCTCTCTCTCTCTCTCTGTTTCTTTAGTACTCTGTCTTTCTCTCTCTCGTCACTCTTATCTCTCTCTCTCTCTCTCTCTCTCTCGTCACTCTTATCTCTCTCTCTCTCTCTCTCTCTCTCTCGTCACTCTTATCTCTCTCTCTCTCTCTCTCTCTCTCTCTCTCTCTCTCTCTCTCTCTCTCTCTCTCTCTCTCTCTCCTCTCTCTCTCGTCACTCTTATCTCTCTCTCTCTCTCTCTCGTCACTCTTATCTCTCTCTCTCTCTCGTCACTCTTATCTCTCTCTCTCGTCACTCTTATCTCTCTCTCTCTCTCTCTCTCTCTCTCTCTCTCTCTCTCTCTCTCTCTCTCTCTCTCTCTCTCTCTCTCTCTCTCTCTCTCTCTCTCTCTCTCTCTCTCTGTCTCTCTCTCTCTCTCTCTCTCTCTCTCTCTCTCTCTCTCTCTCTCTCTCTCTCTCTCTCTCTCTCTCTCTCTCTCTCTCTCTCTCTCTCTCTCTCTCTCTCTCTCTGTCTCTCTCTCTCTCTCTCTCTCTCTCTCTTTCTCTCTCTCTCTCTCTCTCTCCCTCTTCACTCCACTCCATCATTATGTCCTACAATGTCTCACACACATTGCATTTAACTAACCTTACACATCTTGACAATAAACTAAATTAGTCAACTGTAAAGTATTGTTAAAGACAATATTGTTGTGTTTTTTCCTGCTACGATAAAACGTTACATTTGTGCTATTTTGGAGTAAATTGTTTGCACTAAATCTCGAAGCTAGCAGCTCTGAGGCTTCGTGGTTGAGCCATGTTCTTAAACCTCCACTAGGAATCATGCTTGTCCTGTACTCTTACAAATTATGTCTGAATTTGGCCGTTTGCCTGTACGGCCGAAAATGGACGTAATTTGAAAATGAAAAATAACTGAAAATAAATTTTCGATTTTTTCTGGTAGGTTAGGATGGCAAGAATTTCTCCTAAGGTTTCAAAACGTCACGAAAACCATTAATTGAAAGTTTCCTCTCCTAACCTAACCGAGTTAGCCAGAGAACTCAAAACAGAAAATGGGACAGTACATCACTTTCGTGAGCCGATTTAATTTCAAATTACGTTCATTTTTGGCCATAGCGCGCATTCGCGAAAAGTGACGTAATTGTAAGAGAACGGGTTGTTGTCACAGCCGGTCCTCAAAAAAAAAGGGCCAAAGTCCATTCCATGCACCCGCCAAACCCCCCTGTTTATGAATGAAAAACGGTTTACACACGACTCACAAGTCAACCCTTCCTCGACTCAAGTCCATTACATTCAGCGGTCAACCCCACAGACGCATTCATCAATTTTAACATGCTGTTCATTCAAAACGGGAATTTTCGCAAGTATAAATTAATATTATAATATATTAGCATATTGTGTATATATAGACATAGGATAGGTAAGGTTAGGTGTTTAGGTTCTGTTGGCGATTATTTGTATTTGTAGTACGTGGGTGAAGCATTTATAGCGTTGTGATTCGAACAAAATTCGTCAGTGAAACACTTGTTTCGGAAGTGTTCGAACGTTAGCAGTTGTGAGTCGTGTGTAAACCGCTTTTCATTCATAAACAGGGGGTTTGGCGGGTACATAGAATCACTTTTGGATGTTTGTTTGGAGGACGGGCTGCACAAGTGATGATGTTTCAACACTTCTGGAACAAGTGCTTCGCCGACGACATTTGTTCGAACCACAACGCTGTAAATGCTTCACCCACGTACTACAAATACAAATAATCGCCAACAGAACCTAAACACCTAACCTAACCAATGCCTAAATTATGTACAATACGCTAAACTTATGTTTGAGAAAAATCCAGTTTTGAATGAACAGCATGTTGAAATTGATCAATGCGTCTTTGGGATCGACCACTGGATGGAATGGACTTGGTGTGAGGACGAAATGCTTGCCAGTATCTCCTGACATATCCTGGCCTTCACGTGGACGAAGTTCTTTATAATTGGTACAGGTATTTTGTCAGAGTGGGCTAATAGGTGCGAGTATTCTTGCTTATATTTCCTATTGTATCTTGGTCTTGACCAGGCAAGAACTGCAATCATTTACAGGGTTTTCTTTTTTCATCACGTCATTGGAATGTCAAATATAAGTTTCTCTCGCTTCCCCTTGCTCCACTGCCGCAAATTTTCAACACACGGCTGACACGATGTGATGTCCCAGATTTGTCCCGGTCTCTAAGTCTCACTTGAAGGATGTGTTGGGAACTCCAGCTTCCCAAAGTCACTAATAATCATAACATTAACAAAATGCGTCTAGATCATTCAAACACTTCCTTCTAGCAGCAGCTATTTTTTGGACGAGGTAGAGAGAGGTCATAATATAACCTGGACACCATACAACCAGGTGCATGGGTGACAGCTTCTTCCCCATTTTCTACCCTGATATTCTACCCTGAGACTGATGGATGGATGCCAACTACTAACCTCTCTCCACATAACTCTCCTACATACGTTTCGGGTGTGCATATTCGTACATATGACACTATACTACAGCATGCCTGCCAGAGTTGAGTATACTGAAGAACACATACAAAATGCCATAGAACAAAAACTTGAAAAAAATGCCGTAAAACAAACTCTTGACGTGATAGGCAAAACCAATTTCATCTGTAACAATCAGCACACTCAAATTAGTTAATAACTAGTGTCAGATCTTAGTCAGCAGAACAAAGTAAACAAATGTTGTCAGTGATACTCATATGAAAAAAACGTAAACATAATCTCGTCCCCTGACGCAGCAAAACTTAGTGCTTCACTCGTCGGGACGACTGACTGCCCGACACCCAATAACACGCTGTCTCTCACCCTGGCAAGGTAGTTGCTAATCTTATCGCTGTCTAGGTGCTGAGGGTGCTGTCTCGGTCAGACCACGTGTGTGCGGAAATGTCTGGCACGTGACGATAAAGGCGACACTGCTGAAGTCACAGACACAGGTGACAGTCCACAAAGGCCGGTGAAATAACCAGAAGCTGTGGACGGGCCACAGAACCGATGACAGGAGATAGTCATCACGTTAACCAACAGGTGATGAGATTTATTCAAGTGGATTTATTCATTTGATATATAACGGTAATGTGATTTCTGTGTGTATCTGGATCTCTGTCTTCATCAAACTGCTGCATGGTAATGGTATTGACTTCAAAATTGTACTGTGCTCTGTTATGCCCCACATGCAAGGTCTTGCCTTTTTTAATGTTATAAACTCTTTGTAGTAGTATTAGGGATCCATCTGTCTCAGGAGACTATGGAGTTGCACCCTGGAGTAGCCATTCCAGGGCGCAAAGCCAGGGTAGATCGATATGGAGGAGAAGATGTTATCCAAGCAGCAGGTCCCCCCCCCCCCTCTTTGTAACGCCTCAGTATCATTTTCACTTGCTGCTTTGCCATAAATCTTAATGTCATCTGCAAATGTGATGATGTATCATCTAGGCCATTGATGTATGTGATAAGCAAAGGTCGCAGTTAGATTCATTCCCATTTATGACGTCCATTCCCTCGGTTTTAACAATTATATTGTCCATTATAGTACTGTACTTACCATTTATTTCTAGGGGTGCTTGGGGGTGGTGGTTGGCTGGCTAAGTAGGGGGAGCTAGGGGGGATGAAGGTGCAGGTCAAATATGGTGCAAGGAGACGGTGGTGGGTGGGACACACCCACACAAGGGGTGCTAGGGGATGGTTGTGCGGGGATAGGTGAGGTGCTAGCAGGCGGTGGTGGATGGAACAGGTGGGGAACAAAGGGGCGGTGGGGAGGAGACACTTGGGATGACAGGTGGGTGTTGTTGGAAAATCCGACACCATTTAATAATATCAATGCAATTGCAGATAATATTGCTGCGTTGTATACACAAGTTACCCATAGAAAATGTAACTTGTAGTGGAACTTTCCGTCTATAGAAAACGGGATATCATTGCCACATACTATTATAAATTCACCACCTATTATGGTGGGAATTATTCTTAAATACATTAATCTTTGGACTTTACCATCATAAAAACATCTCATTTGAATTAACTTAATTATCAGAATCAAAATAGAGTAAATGTGACCCCTTCTATCACTTTCTGATATCTGGACAAAGTAGGCCAGGCGTCAGTGGTGAGGGAGTGGTCAGTCATTGTTGTTAGACATGAGGCAGGGAGCAAATTCGGCTCCTGTTAATTTCTCTTGGACGAAGTGTTATGGAAACCAAAGGTCTGCCATCATCAACACGCTGTCAACAATCACAAGGGAAGTGTTCTGCCGAAACCCATTTATCTAATCATTTTTAACCATTAATGTTAGGTAGATATTTTGGGCAAACCGGTGAGAGCACAAATGATTGACTCAAAAAAGGTAATTAAGCCTTGGTCTTTATGATTCATTATACAGTGTTTTCTCTGATATAGCTGTCATATATTAGGATTCTGGCTTTATAGTTAGCGCCCTTTGACAGGTCAAGAAGAGGAAGCAAACTTTGTGTATCAGTTACTGGGTGATGGAAGCTGCCTCTCATGAGGAAATTTGGTGTCTACATCCTAGTTATATCTGGTGAACTAAGCCTGCTGTATAATAAGATAAGGAACCTCTTCAATGTATACTAATATATGTAGTTTAATACTGTAGTTTGATTGGCTGCATATATAAATTCAATATAAACCCCCCCCCCTAATGTGTAGTGGATCGATTTGTGAGATTATTGCAGAAATACAGTCCACTTATCATACAAATTGGTATCGAAATATATAAATTAACGTAAATATAAATTCTATATAAATTCATATAAATTAAATAAATATAAATCTCACAGGTCGGTTCCCACAGGTGTTAGGGGACGGTGGTGGGTGGACAGGTGAGGAAGTCGGGGACCGTTGGGGGGGGAGGGGGGGATGGAGGGGGGGGGGGGAACAAGTGGTGTACTAGAGGACAGTGGTATTTACCTATCAGTACTTACCTATTAGTGACTACTGGGAAGTGAGGTCTGGCTCTTTATGCCCCGCATACGAGCCTTATTGTACCCGTTGCATTAAAGCTTAACTATTCTAACAAACACTATCTTTGTCGAACCTTTCCTTAAAGTTGTGAATGGAGGTGGCTTTCATAACTTCTTCTCTCAGTGCATTCCACTTGTTGACCACCCGTACAGGGTACTAGTGTTTCCTTGCATTACTTCGACTCATTTGGGACTCCAGCTACCACTTGTGTCCTCTTGCAACCCGTTCTCGCAAATTTAATAAGTCAATATTGACTTATTATATATGTGCATAGGTGACATACTTAACATAATAGATACCCTTAAAAAGATTCATAGAAAACACCGACCTTACCTAACCTTGTTAGTATCTTAAGATAAGCATCTTATTGCTTCGTAATTACAATTATTACCTAACCTATAATAGGTATAGGTTAAGTAATAATTGTAATTACGAAGCAATAAGATGCTTATCTTAAGATACTAACAAGGTTAGGTAAGGTCGGTGTTTTCTATGAATCTTTTTAAGGGTATCTATTATGTTTAGTATATCACCTATGCACGTAGTTAATAAGTCAATATTGACTTTACGAATTTGCGAGAACGGGTTGCCTCTTGTCCTACTTTCTCAACTTACAGAAGCTGTCCTTGTCCATCTTGTCTATTCCCTCTCAGTATCTTGTACGGTGTTATTATTTCTCCTCTATTTATTCTCTCCACCAAGGTTGTGACATCCAGTTCCTTCAGTGTATCTTCATAACTTGACCCCTCTAAGCTCTGGCACTAATCCCGTTACAAACCTCTGTACTTTTTCGATTTTTGCTTTAAGTTTCATAAGGTATGGATTCCAAGCAGGTGCTGCATATTCCAGTACTGGTCTGACTAAAGCTGTGTAGATTGCTTTGAACGCGTCCGGATTTAGCTTTCTAAACTACGTTCTAATGTTTGCCAGCGTCCCATATGATGCTGATGATACTCTGCCAGTGTGTCTGTCTCCGGTGTTAGGTATGGAATTATATTGACTCCCAAATCCGTTTCTCTCTCAGATTCCTGCAATCTCCTATTATTAATGGTGTAGACACCTTCTGGTCGTCTTTCTCCCATCCTTATCTTCATCCCCTTGCACTTTTTGGGATTGAACTCCAGCAACTATTTGCTTGTCCACTCCTGGAGTTTGTTAAGTTGTTAAGGTTATTCTCTAACATTCTGCAGTACTCCTCTGTTTTTACATGATTAATTATTTTGGCATTATCTGCCAACATTGACATGTACGAGCTCACTCCCTCGGGAGGTTCACTAACATAAATTAGGAACAGTAGTGACCCCAGAACCGATCCTTGGGGGACACCACATGTTGCATTTCTACAGCTGGAGACCTCGCCTCTGAGTGTGACTCTGTTTGCTGTCATTCAGGTATTCCCTTACCCAGTTTAGCATCTTCCCAGTTATCTCAACTTGATTCTTCATATTGTACATGAAAAATGTGAAGAGCAATTTCCTTAGGTTTAAATGTAGAGAGCAATCCCTTAAACCTAAATGATAGAGCAAATCCATAAGGTTTTAATGAAACCTACAGGGGTGGAGTAGTCTTTATTAGGAAATGGTTGATAACTAAAACAAGGAGAGAGGATAACCCATCGGCAGTGAAACCTTTATTGGGGAATAGTTATTGTCTTAAATGAGTAGAACAATACCCGGAGGTTAAAATGAGAAATTGTATTGAAATCCCTCGTGGGATTTCAGAATTGTGTTTACCCCTCCCACAAGGGTAATAGTCATAGAAGCAAATTATACTTCATTCTTTATCATATATATTATCTTAACCTTTTTTATGTGATTAGTTATCACGTTCTCATCTGCCTCTGTCAGCACCTTGTGAGGCTGTTACCAGCGCATTTAAGAACACATCATTAAGAGAGACAGTGACAGAGACAGATACCGAGATACCTTGCTCGCTATCAGGGTGTTAATTCCCTGTTATCCTTGAAGCACCTCTTCAATCTATAAGCGTAACAGTTTTATCTTATCCATCCCTCCTCCTGCTCCATCTTCCCATGTACTCTATGCTCCACATTCCCCATCCTCTACCTGCTTCTGCACCACCGCAGGTAACGCTCACACTGCCCATCAATTGCTCCACAATCTCTATCCCCTCCATTCAACCCCGCTCATCACACCTTAACCCTAATGATCCCTCAACCCATCATAGGTTGGTTAATTCAACAACACTAAGCAATCAAACACTAAGACAAAAGAGATGTCATATCATATCTCTCATATCTTTCGTACTTAACGCATGCTAAACATTTTATCTTAATGTGTAGATTAAGTTGAATAAAAAAAAATTATACACCAGTCAGTGAGGAAGAGGATTACAATGCATGTTAGGCTTAACAGAGTAAAAAAAATGCAAATTACAGTTAAGTCAGGCACATGGAAGTGAGTGTGATGATATTGTCACATCATTATAAGTCAAGTCTTGCACGTCCATAGCAACATGAGAGAGTCATGTAGATCTCTCTTTAGCTAAGAGTAAAATGCATATATTTTTGTTCATAGATCTAAGTTGAACAAATTCTAACTAGAGTCTTTCTTCTCCATTGTAACTTAGCGAGTTTATTATTTTATTCAAGTATTCTTCAATATTTCTGCCCCAATTTTAAAACATTTATCTGCTTATCAAGAGATTATTCTGCTACATCCCCATATTTTGCTTTATCCTTACCATTCATTAGGATTAATCAAGAATCAAACTAAATAATTCATTATCCTTACACAAATTCTAGCCATTACAAAAAAAAAAAAAATTTATTAGTTAAAACATTCACTTTTTCTCTCTTGCTAACTTGTACTCTTTCACTATCATAAGCTCACTACTGAATAAACTCTCTTAGACTATTTCACATGCACAAAATATTATCCTTCTCTAGAGACAGTTACCTTTGCTCATTTATGTTACACACGCTACAACAACAAACTTGCATATTCATATCCCTTTTTCTCAACCATACTCAGTCTCGTTACACAAATCACTATTTTATAATTTTTCTCAATTACCATCTCTCTTTTATT